AACAGATACATTTTACCAGTAACAAAAACAGATACATTTTACCAGTAACAAAAACACATACATTTTACCAGTAACAAAAACACATACATTTTACCAGTAAGAAAAACAGATACATTTTACCAGTAACAAAAACACATCCATTTTACCAGTAACAAAAATAACTACATTTTACCAGTAACAAAAACACATCCATTTTACCAGTAACAAAAATACCTACATTTTACCAGTAACAAAAACACATACATTTTACCAGTAATAAAAACAGATACATTTTACCAGTAACAAAAACACATACATTTTACCAGTAACAAAAACACATACATTTTACCAGTAACAAAAGCACAAAGATTTTACCAGTAACAAAAGCACATACATTTTACCAGTAAGAAAAACAGATACATTTTACCAGTAACAAAAACACATACATTTTACCAGTAACAAAAACAGATACATTTTACCAGTAACAAAAACACATTTTACCAGTAACAAAAACAGATACATTTTACCAGTAACAAAAACACATACATTTTACCAGTAAAAAAAAAACACATACATTTTACCAGTAACAAAAGCACAAACATTTTATCAGTAACAAAAATACATACATTTTACCAGTAACAAAAGCAGATACATTTTATCAGTAACAAAAAGACATACATTTTACCAGTAACAAAAACAGATACATTTTATCAGTAACAAAAACACATACATTTTACCACTAAGTAAAACACATACATTTTACCAGTAACAAAAACAGATACATTTTACCAGTAACAAAAACACATACATTTTACCAGTAAAAAAAAAAACACATACATTTTACCAGTAACAAAAGCACAAATATTTTACCAGTAACAAAAACACATACATTTTACAAGTAACAAAAACACAAACATTTTACCAGTGGCGATAAGGCAAGCAACATTTCTGATGAAACAAAAAGAAGCTGCAAATATTTGTATTTACCTGCTAAGTTGAGATCCCCGCTCTGCTGTACTTTAGTGGTGTCGTGTGATGTAGTTTAGTGGTAAAGTTCATGGCACTCCAACCACATGTTCACAATGCTTTAGAAAGTCGCTGGATAAAGGAAGTTGTGTTAGCACAGAATCAACAGAAAAGTCATACTTGCTTCACAATTTCCACGAAAAAAAATCCAGTTTCCACAAAAAATCCGCTTTCCACCAAAAACCAAAAAACCAAACTTTCTACCGAAAACCCAAAGTGGTCTGCAAAAATAAAAAATAAAAGGATTCAAGTTTGCTATTATTATCTTATTCTCAATGCATTTGGAAACTCATTTTTATCATTTTTTACATCTACTTATATAAGGACAGCGTGTAAGAAGCCATAATATTGAAGCCGAATTGAACTTTGAACTTCGCTTTAAAACAAAGTTGGCTGTCCAATGCGTTCATTTTAGTCACTTGCAATACGTTATTACCTTTCGGCAATAACTTTAATCATATAAATATTTGTTGTTTCTATTGGGTTCCAACACTATTATCAACAGAGTTTCTTCCAGGCATCTCTTTGGGGGGGAGGGGGGCGAAATTTTTTTACCCCCCGAACGAAATGAAATTTATATAATTTATATAGAAAATATATACCTTTAGCAGTGTCCGCCCCCCCCCCCCGAAGAAAGTCTACCGCCCCCCCCCCCCCCCCCCCAAAAAATTTCAAGAGCCCCCCGAAGAAAAAAGTCTGGAAGAAACACTGATTATCAATTATCTAATTCGAGAATACATGCGTTAAATTGACTTTAGCCATTTCTTGTGTCTGTTAGATATGTCGGGGATACTGGATTCTAGATTCTAACTTTATGATTACGGAGAGTTTGGTAAATAATACAAAATAGTTTCACCTTTTGAAAGTGAATTACTTGCCAAGATGATAGCGCGTTAACTAATCACACAGGTGGCATGGGTACGAAACCTAAGCAGTCATTGTCTCTTTTATTTTTATTTTAATGTTCCCACCCAGAAAGTAGACAGAGGGAAATCTCAAAGCACGCAAATGATTCTAAATGATTTTTTTTTTGGCGTTTGGTTTAATAATTTGTTTATTTATTATTCATATAAGGTTCGCGCTAGAAAAAAAAAAAAAAACGCGTCATTATCATTATGACCCTGATTCAGATTAAGTGAATCACGTTTTTTTTTTTAAAGTTTGTTTCCCAATTTAAAAAAATACAATTGGTGTGCGCTGAATGGATATCCGTGCCACCGCCACCCGTGCGCAGCGCAACGCGGGCGCTCTGCTAGTTTTTCATATTCTCAAATGAATACGCACCTATGAATTACTTATTAAAAATTAATGTATAAGATTGACTCACACTAGGAAGGTAACAGGATGAAGTAGTAGCTATCACTCGATCAGCCAGGTGATTGAGGTGAGTTGTGTTCAATGATGTTTTCACACCTCACAGCCCACCAAGGGAGTTAATTAAAGGGCAGATGATTGTCGTTTAAAGATCCCAAGTTAACCGATTGTTATGAACAAATGAAATGATGGAAAAAACAACAACGGTACTAATTATTTTCAAAATCTTTTATGTAGGTTTTAACAGGGGCGTAGCGAGGGGGGGGGGGGGGGGGCGGGGGGTGCGGACCGCACCGGGTGACACCATTTAGCAAAATATATAGAGAAAAACTTGAGGGGGGGGGGGGGTGCAAATCGAAAGTTTTAGGGGGGGGGTGGTGCAAATCGAAAACTTGATGGGGGTGCAAATCGAAAACTTGAAAGTTTGTCCCCGGGAAGGGTCGCTACGCCTCTGGTGGGTGACACCATTAAGTGCCGCACCGGGTGACACCCGACCTCGCTACACCACTGGATTTTAATACTAATTTAAAATTTTAAAATTTCTCATTACTAAAGAAATAGAAATTTTAAACATGTCTTTGCAATAACAAACTTTTAAAAGCACTAGAAATAGGAATGTAAACCACATTTTAAAAAAAATCTTGTTATTTTGTTTGATTAGTTTTCTGTTATTTACTATTTTTTAAGGAAGCTGAACTTACAACAAGTGCAGTGGTGCTGTGTTTACACGATGTAGGTCTTGTTAACTAGCCGTACTATCCAGTGTCAGATGACAGAGGCGTGTCAGTGCAGAAGGCTGGAGATGGGTCACTGAAAGCAAAAATGGTTGTAGTAGGCCTATGTCTTGCCTAGTTCTGTATAAGGCCTATGTTTATTTCTTGCCTAGTTCTGTATAAGGCCTATGTTCATTTCTTGCCTAGTTCTGTATAAGGCCTATGTTTATTTCTTGCCTAGTTCTGTATAAGGCCTATGTTTATTTCTTGCCTAGTTCTGTATTTGGCCTATGTTTATTTCAGAAAACATTGTCTTGTTTAGTTTGGTTGTCTGTTTATTTCTCAACAGTTGCCTGTAAAAATAACCGATACATTTGATACAAACATTTTATCGCGCCGAATTAACGATAGGCTCCTAAAGTTTTAGCTGAAGACATCTCCCCTGGTGAAGTTTAGAAAACTAAACAAACTTATCATAGATTTTGAAAATATTCAGCTATTAAGATTTATGAACGTTCGCATGGAAGCTATAAAAACTGTTTTCATGAAACTTTATATATATATATATATATATATATATATATATATATATATATATATATATATATATATATATATATACATATATATATATATATATATATATATATATATATATATATATATATATATATATATATATATATATATATATATATATATATATATATATATATATATATATATATATTGATCTCTAGGACTTAAAAACAATTTTTTTTGCGCGGATATCAGGCTACAGTTTTTTTTTTAAAGAAAAGAAAACTTCACCTAATTTCTTAGAAAACATGCACCCACATTTAAGTTTTGCGTATGTTCTTTAGGCGTCTACGTTAGAAACGCATTATATTAAAATTGGATACTCCATTTTTGATGGCTGTTTTTTTTTTTTCTTTTTTTTTTTCTTTCTTTTTTTTTATCGAGTGATCATAATTAATTAGAATGCCAGGGTGAGTCCGTCTAGCGGGTGATTAACTTAGTTTCTGGAGTGTAAAGCGGAAGTTCAGAGGTCGGACTAGCCATGCATTTATTACACTGATCGCTAGTGACGTGTCTGCCTCAAGTGGTCATCTTGTCCCGGGAGTCACCCCGTCCCGTCCCCCCCCCCCCCCCCCCCCCCCCCCCCCCGCCCCGTCCCCCATTCACTACCGTTAGTGAGACATGTTATTTTTCACGGCAGCCTTGTCAACAAGCATGTCGCCGTGCCGGCACGCGTCCGTCCCTCTCCAGCAGACGAGCGATCAATTGATCAGACGCCGACCAATCCCAGCGCGGGAAACGGGCAGTCGGACGCCCGAGTCGCCCTGAAGGAGGCTCCAAGTCTGCTAGGAGGTTGCTACGACACAGGACAACAATCGCTGGGCGGCGCTGCGAGATGGGACAGCCGAGCCGAGTGACAAGGGGTGGTGCGCGGACAAGAATGGGACCCTGGGAGGGGGGGGGGGGAGAAAAAGTTTACGATAAAGTTTCGGAAGGGAAACTTATGAGAACGGTTCCATCTGTTTGCGCCGAAGATTGGCAGACGTGGGGCGTTCAATGGACGACGTCCCTATTTAAACCAAGTTAACTTCTATTCGCTGGGTCCCCACAGACTGTCAGGTTTACTCGGAACTGTTCTCAATTAGGAACATTACATTTGTTAATCTGTTCAAGCTGGGAATAAAATCAAGTATTTTGACTTTCATTTTTTAAAGTATCGAGACATAGACTTCATTAATAAAAACAATTAAACAAAAATTATTTTATTTCTTTTTTAAAAATTTAAAATACGAAAATTTAAACTCACTTCATTTTTTCGCCAAATTTAAAAATAAAATAAAATGGCGATGGAGGACCGGAACAGTGCGTGTATAGATCGCTCGGGTTTACAGTAAAAGTTTGGCCAGATTTGAAGTCTTGTTGGCCGTGAGTAGAAGCAAGTCTGGCAGCATGATCTCGACGGCTCTGGACGTCCAGCAGCTGGTAGACTCCAGCTCCCACCTGCAGACCCTCGTCCACGCCAAGAACTCGGAGACTGCTGCCCTCGGCTGTCTGGGCATCGCGGTCAAGTCGCCCAGCCTCGTCTCGTGCACTGAGATGCCGTCAGGAGTCGTGGCAGGGAATGAGATACCTGCGGGAGTCACTGTGACGCTGGACTCCATTGATGTGACGCTGGGCAGAGATCTCCTTATGAAGACTAGACTCCCAGACGACCATGCGTCTCCAGCCAGAAGTCTCAAGGTAAGAGTTCGATTCTTTAGTTTACACGCCAATCGCAGTATCTAGCACCAACATGTATAGCATTACCAATTTAATTTAATTTCTGAAACACCTTACATCCTAGTATTACCACCTGGATAGAATTTTCTCTGAAGCTACCAACACAGTAGTGTATTGTTACAATATGTTGTTTAACTTACCAAAATAATACTGCTGTGTTAAAATATATATTTAAATTAGAAGCACAGCGTTGCAACTTCACTATTTTACAAACCGGCTTCCAACGTCTTTTGTGTAACGGCTACACACACCGTATTGTCTTCTTGCTAGCCATCCCACACCAGGCTACACACACCGTATTGTCTTCTGGCTAGCCATCCCACACCAGGCTACACACACTGTATTGTCTTCTGGCTAGCCATCCCACACCAGGCTACACACACAATATTGTCTTCTGTCTAGCCATCCCACACCAGGCTACACACACCGTATTGTCTTCTGTCTAGCCACCCCACACCAGGCTACACACACTGTATTGTCTTCTGGCTAGCCATCCCACAACAGGCTACACACTGTATTGTCTTCTGGCTAGCCATCCCACAACAGGCTACACACACTGTATTGTCTTCTGGCTAGCCATCCCACACCAGTCTCATTCTCTTGTGGTCACTGGTCAATCTAGCCCCAGCTTCTTCCCCCTGTGTAGGATTTAGACATCTCCACATATATTTATTTATCTATATCTGACTCAGATATCTACACTTATGTTAAATTTAGCCGTATATGACATAGATATACCCCAGGTGTTAATTTATCCATTTTGGTCTTAGATATCTGCACGTATGTTTATGTAGCCTTATCTGACTTAAATATCTGAACATTGGCTAATTTAACCTTAACTGGCTTAGATATCTGAATATTTGCAAATTTAACTTTATCTGATTTTGATATCTGCACAGATGTTTATTTATCCATTTCCGACTTAGATGTATCCCTGATGTTTATTTATAATTTGTTGTTTATTTAACCGTATCTGATTTACTTATTCCCCCTCCACCATACACCTAGACCGTACCTGAGTTCATCCAGCTCTGATGGATACCTAACTCACGTTAGGGAAAGTAAAGACAGCTGGGCATAGTGCTGACCACACTATCCTTTCATATGCAGAGATCATACTTCTACTCTACTTCACTTGCCCCATAGGCGTTCATGTTTGGAAGGGGAACTTGACTTTACACCATACACCCCCCACCCATGTTAAAGTGGTTTTAGTGTTAATGTTATGGTTAACACATTTTTACAATCTTTATTGCTCAACGAGTTAACTTTAAATCATCAATAGACTACTCGATTTACACCATTTTAATATTTTTAACGTTTTCATGAATTCATTAGTACAAAATGATGAATTAACTTCCATGAGAAAATAGTTAAACATGAAATGATTGGTCATAAAATGGCGTGTTGGCTAGGTAGTTGCCACTGTAAAGATTCATTGCTTGTTGCTAACCAAAATAAGAATTTAAAATATATAGCAAACATTACAATAATTGTTACTGGGTTATTGTTTGATATCACAAATGTCACTAAAGCACAGTTCATTAAATAAATCAAATATTATTATAGATTTTAATTTGAGTTACTACATTCATACCATTACGATACTTGTACCATACTTCAAAGAAACCAAAATTGTAAAAATGTATTTCCTCTGGAGCAGAATCATAAGAAATCAGTCTCCACCCTCACCCCTCCACTTTTACACTTTCCACACACACAGATATATTTATTTGACTGGCACACGACACATTTCCTGAATGTGTTATACGTTAATTTTAGTCACACCACACAACACATTTACCGAATGTGTTATACATTCCGTTAATTACTAACACATACACCAGATTGTAAACTACTTGTAACTCTGTAGACCTATACCTGAAACTAAAGCATTAAATGAAACTCAAGAGTATACAATTCGTCATGCGATATCTAGTTGTAAAACTATCTAGCTCTTCCCACCCCCACCTCCACCCTCACCCACTTAAATGGGCATGTATTTTTCCGCCATATATATGCATATACATTAATTATTATTGAATTTATACATGGATTCTGTGAATGAAAATGTGTACAAATATGTACGCTGAAAGTCTACAATTTAATATTTATTACAAGCTTTGATTTAACTCACTTCCTCTGTCTGTCGTCAGTCGTCAGTCTAGATCGAAACGCCCGAGCGAAATTTCGGACACTTCTAACTGACAGATACGGTTCGTAGTTGGTACGTGGGTCAAGACATGAAGACAATGCATCATGACATTAAAGTTGACTTAATTGGATGCCTAATTAATTTTTTTCTGGATTAATTAAAATTTTGACCAAATTAGTAGGCAGTCTTATCCAACTACTCCGCACTATTAGACACGCTTCAGCAGGTTCAATAGGGCGTCATCACGTTCAATAGGTGCGCAATGGTTTTTAGTCATGTAACTCTATTATAAATAAAAACATGTAAAGTACTGAATAAAAATTCATAAAAAAACGTTTTATGTTAGTAAAGGTATCCAATAGGTACTGAAGTGACTCACGCTTTTCTTTATAGTTATTTAAATAAAAGTGTATAATTTTTTTTCTACTTTTTTAGTGCATTAGTACATAAAAACTTGTTATTAAAACGTTTTTTAATGATTTTTTTGGTATTATATTTGACTTCGTAAATATGTTGTACAATTTACGTTTTATGTTTTCAAAATGAGGTGGAAAGCGTTTTTCTCAAAACATTATCATTTCTGCTTTGCTGTAATTAAACATTTTTTTTTAAACCTCCCTTAACAACCAATGATGATAATAACCTTTCATTATGTTGTTTTTATGTAACATTTAGCCGTATTTCGGTAATCAATTATTATTTTTTTTATTTTTGAAACTGGAGCGTTTAAAAAAAAAATTCACTGCTGCTCATTGCCAAACCGTCCAAAAAGCTCGCGCCTAGCTGCAGACGACCCAGCTTCCGTATAATCATGTTCATGTCGGAATCAAGTTTCGTGTAACAGACATCCGTGTCAACAAGAGTTAAGGCCCTTCAGTGGAGAGTTCATCCGGCATGGCGGGACCCATACACTCCCAAAACGCGACACAAAAAACAGACCGTTGGACTACATTGGCGGAAAGCATAAAATAAAAGTGACGAATGGGCGAGAGGTTAGAGTTATCCCCGATTAACTCCCTTCACGCGCTGATGGATGCTCCCTCTGGAGGTGAAACTTGATCGACCGCGGACGATAAACTCCACTTTCATTCAACAAAAAAATGTATTCAATTTTTATCCGCCTCGCGAACTTTTATGAAGTCCACATTACAGCTAATTGTGGATTTCTATTATCCCAGCCTGCTATTTAAAGGATATCATAGCCAGTCATTTGCTAAGTTTGAAACATTTTTCTCATGGCATCCCCACGATGTTGAGGGAATGGATTAGTGCGTAGAATGACATTCAAATAATCCGTTGTGCTTTAGATTAGCTGCACGGGATTGATGACATAATTAAAAAGATCAACCGAAATTAAAATGTTCGTTAAGTTGTTTTATTTATTTTTTAATTTGTGAATCTTTCTTTTGATAATCATAAAGTGCGCTTTGTTTAATTAAAAATGTATTTATTTTTTGTTAAAGAATTCGATTAAATGCATGCGCAATGTAGAGTTCTCACAAATTGCTTTACCTATTTTAGTTCTTTTCTTAAAGTAACTCAACTACAATATTTTATTAAGGAGGACATTTTATTCAATAAGCGTGAGAGTGTGAGTACTAACGAGTAATTGATGTGTGTGTGGGGGGGGGGGGGGGGGGTGGCATGTATGAGAGAGAATCTTACGAAATATTTTTTTCTCACGTTCACCCCACAACCTGTTAGTTCTATCTATAAACAAACACTCTACTTTAAAACACTACTACACAAAACACTATGTTAATTTGTCCTACACGACACACCTTATTAATTTGTCCAACACGACACACCTTATTAATTTGTCCTACAGGACACACCTTATCAATTTGTCCTACAGGACACACCTTATCAATTTGTCCTACATGACACACCTTATCAATTTGTCCTACACGACACACCATGTTAGTCTGTCCTACACGACACACCAGGCCAAAACACGACCAAACTTGTCTGTCAACACAATTACCCCACGGGAGTCGAACCCTTGCCGTGTTGAATGATCAAACACTCGACCACCGAGTTCCTCTACCTGCCCAGGTGAGCGGCGTAGGTGCCAGATCTGGCAACAATGGTCTGGAGGGGGCTGGGGTACACACGCGTCCACTGGTCACACCTCGAGTGGGCTTCAAGAGACCGCGGGTGACCACTGTTTGGCTGGAGTAAACCCGGCCCCATTTAGATGTTTACTGTAACACGACCTGAGCCTACAGGTGTTATACAGGTGAGTGCTGGGTCACGCGCGTCTACAGCTAACGACGTTGTGTTTATATTTAGCAGCATACCCATGCTTCACCCTCCGACCAGACACCCCACTACTGACACCCCCACTGTCACCCCCCCCCCCCCCCCCATGTGTATTGACTCCATAACGTCATCACCTCCACCACTACACACTGACTTTGTGCCGACCAACGTTTTCCTTCAAGTGGTTTTACCGCACTGGAAATTGGTGCGCTGTGGCCAGTTAGTGTTTGTTTATTTACCACGGGTATTGGCCAATCCTGACCTAAGTCCAGGGTAACACCTGATTACAGTTAACGGTGGCGAAATGTCAACTGAGTCTAACATGCTCAAACCAAACCTAAATCACGTGACTCGCATGAAAGGGCGGTCGAGATGAGGGGAAATGGTAGCAACGATTTGTATGGGAAATTCAACAAGACAGACTAGTCTAGAAAGTCAAGAAGACAAGATAGACAGGTCTAGAAAGTCAAGAAGACAAGACAGACAGGTCTAGAAAGTCAAGAAGACAGACTAGTCTAGAAAGTCAAGAAGACAAGACAGACTG